CAATTATAGGTTGTTTTGAGTGTTTTCATCAGCGTCTGTGTTTCTGTCCCTCTGTCACTGGTCATTAATTTTTCCTTCCCTCTGTGTGTGTGCGTGTCGCTGTCTCTCTCGCTCTCTCTGCCATCAGGAGCTTTTTTTCTATTCTCTTTTTTTAATATAATGAAAATCACAATGGCTGCTGCCTAATTAAATAAGCACTAATTTCAGGAAGATTAAAGCCATTACAATTAGCCAGAGAAAAGAGAGCACAAGACAGGGGACAAGAATAAAATACACTTATTAATTTGTGTGCCATTTATGCTCAGGATCTATGAAATAAATAAATAAAACATGCCTGTTTTTTCATGTGTTTTCAAGTCTGTGCACACATTTGCATATGAAGGACAGTATACGTTTAGAGGCTGAAAGAAAGGACTAAAATTAAGTTATGCATTTTAATGTGATCTTATTTGTACTTTATGGTATTGCAGAATTTATAAAGAAGCAGATTTATGTACATATGTGACACAAACACATAGAAGTAGATATGTATAGAGATTTACTTCTCCGACTTACACCATATTAGATACTTTGCATTTGCAGGTGAAAAGCGAAACAGCGTACTGAAACATGAAAAACAAAAGCAATATTCTAAAACATTCCCTGATTTTTTTTTCCAAATGTTTTTCCAAATGTTTGGACATTTTTCAAGCAATGAAATATGAATCACTCTTCATTACTCAACAGAAACATGAAACCAAATTTCAGTCGCGAGTATATCTGCCAGGGAAATGCAACACTTTGTGTGTGAATGTGTATATGTACATGCTCATTTAAACTCTGTGTTTTTACTGTTCCTCCACATTACAAACTCAACCCCATGGAAGCTATTAAAAGAAGCAGCAACTCAGCCTGTTATCTATAACTTGCAGTGAAAAGTTGCTAATCACTTTAAATCCTTTGTATAAGCTAACCTTTGTGTCCTGCACATAATCATACAGGTGTTTAATATCTCACGGGAATGGCATTTAAGGGTATTGTTTACTGCATATTGACTAAGTAAGAGCACTGAATTAAAGTGATCCCAAAATCTGAATCAGAGTCAGCCAGAAACCAGTGATCAGTCATTACAAGCCAGAACAAACTCCTCATGTACTATCCCAGAGTTACAGTGGTATGCCGGCTTTCACCATGTTAAAAACAGGCTTGCCCTACATACGCCATGAATGGTGAAAGGTTGATGTAATTATTTTTGTTTTGGTTTCCAGCGGAGCTTTTATTTTGCAGCCTTTAAAGAAAGATTAAAGGCTGTCGTAAAAATGAAATTTGGCGAGCACTTCCTTTATCTCGCAGCTGCAGAATGTCTCAAAGTAAAAATGAATGGTTTGGCAAATACTCCATTTCCTTTTCTAAACATGCCATACATATTCCCACTACAGATAGACATGGCTCGATATTAAATTTCTAATAACATTAGTAATCTCTATGCTCTCAATATAGACTTTCAGGGCAAATTATATTTGCTAAAGCCCCCCCATGAGCCGGCAACTTCAGTGGAAAATGTGAACCAAAGATAGAGAGAACGCATAAACACACAGTCGGAAATGGTTTGGTAACAGTTTTGCAACTTTTATCATCACAGGTGTGCCGACACAACCGAGCCCTCTTTCGTATTATGTATTAAAGACACAAGACATTCAGTGTAAAGTTCACTGCACAAATTATAATGGATTGCATTTATATAGCGCTTTTCTAGGCACCCAAAGCACTTTACAATTCCACTATTCATTCACTCTCACATTCACACACTGGTGGAGGCAAGCTACAGTTGTAGCCACAGCTGTGTGTGACAAGTCTGTCTATCAACAGCACGTCCCCTATGTTGCTGGTAGAAATATTGGCATTGACGGGCATTTTATTTAATAATGGATGTCATGAAGAGAACAGAGACAGAGACTTGGATTGTAAAACATAGATATTACTCTTAAATAAGACCTGTATGGAAATCTTTGCACTAAAGTATACCAGCCTGGTGATTTGTATGTCCACATGTGTTCCTGCATTTGAACAACAGTTTGTCACATTACCAGAAAAAGAGGCGAAATACCAGAAAAAGAAACACTTGTTGCAGACCTTTTTTTTTTTAATGACAGCACATTTCTAACAATCTTTGTTCTTTTAAACATGTCAGCACAAACCATCTGTTCCTGAATCTGTTTTTACTGGTCAGCATTTGTTTGATACAAAGATCTACACAAGCAGGGATTTTAGACGAGCCTGCACTGGGTTCTCTTTAAATTTTTACTTCATTGAAATCATCATAAATATCTCAAGGCATGTCTTTACTGTTCTACATGCTTTCATGGGTGACCTACAAAGCGCTGGGCAGGTAGTTTTAATGTTACAGCAGATAACTGCAAACGCAAAGTCTGGTAGAAAACACAAGTAGAAATAAAAGTAATTCAATGATTATGATGGACACAATCTAACAACTTAATGAATAATAAATAATAAATCGGTTCAAAACCCCTAAAACACTAATTTAAAAATCAGCTTACAAAGATTTAATTTTTTGTTTGTTTGTTTTTTAAGTGAAAGTGAAAGTCATGTCAGGTTCGCCAGTGCAGGAACATGGTAATCATTTTTTATATTTACCAGTTAAATATCGGTATTAGTGATGGGATTTCCGGCTCTTTTTAGAGATCCGGCTCTTTCGGTTCGGCTCACTAGAAAGAGCCGGCTCTTTCGGCTCCGAACCGGCTCTTCAGGTTGTTTTGTTGCTTTAATTAATTTATTATTAACAATAATATAAAATTATGCACAAAAGGAATTACTAACGTAAAAAAAAGTGGTTTTATTTATATATGTTTATATATAAATATATGCGGTGGCCCCTAGAGACAAAACACGTACAAACTCCAAAACACATTTCTAGCATGAACTGAACTTCCAAAGCAGAGCTACTAGATCACTTAAATTACACAATTGAAAGCATGTGTGTATTGTTTGTGTATTTATACACAGGCACTCATATATATTCAAATAATTTAAAAAAAAGTTCATCTACCTGTTACTATCACACACCAAATCCGGTCGTTGGTACTTGCTGGCTTGTGTAGCCACAAGATAACAAAGGCTCAACACTGTGCCCAGCATCCTGGAGCACTTCTGTTGTCTTTTGTACGTGTTTTGAGTTTTTATGTGCTTCTGAGTTTTTATATGCTTCTGAGTTTTTACGTGCTTCGGAGTTTGTACGTGTTTTGGAGTTTGTACGTGTTTTTACGTGTTTTGGAGTTTGTACATGCTTCAGAGTTCGTACGTGATTTGAAGTTTGTATGTGCTTTGTCTCTAGGGGCCACCGTAAATATACTTTTATTTATTCACTCCACATAAAATGTAATAAATAAATCATATAATACAAAAATCAACTATTCACATTTCAAGTTTTAACTATTTAAATTTTCAGCTTTTTCCTTTTACAAATTTAAAGTGAAAACAACACAAAACACTGCAAACCACAACACAATTAAATATAAATTATAATATGAAAACAAACAGAAGATGCACATTCTCTGTCATATGGACCTGCATGAATAAACTTTCTGAATCCTTTATCATCTGCAACCGAAAATAGTTGTGGATGATTACTATACCTTTCTAATGTTGTTGTCCCTGCCTCTCTTTCTCTCTCTCTGTTCCTGTGCTACTGAGTGTAACTACCGCCCCTCCCCCCCCTCTGCCCAGCGTAAAGCACAAGGCTCGCGTGCAGAGTGAAGCGGAAAAAAAGTGCGAGAGAGAGGCTGAGAAAAAGAAAAAGGAAAAAACCCACGTGACGGCTCACGATAAGGAGCCGGCTCGCGTGTTCACGTCAAAGAGCCGGCTCTAAGAGCCTTTTCGTTCGCGAACGACCCATCACTAATCGGTATTCAGATGTTCTGTCTTAATGCTCTCCAGGGTAACACATTCAGACGTAAGAACCAGCACATTGTACTGAAAGCAGCATTTGAACAACTTTGCCTGAATGCACAATAGCCCGGCAGACTGGTGATGATGATGGTTGATAGATATAGAAAGACAGATAACAGGATACCCCATTAACACTACATTTTCCTCGGCTAGTGTGAGAGCACAAGCTGAGGAGATGAGCAGTAATTTAGGTAATTTTGCTCTACTCGATTCCCTTTTCTTTAATGACAATAATTATCAGTGGATAACATCTGTAGGATGTGGGTGTTGGCCCCCACCCACCTCTTCCACCCCACCAGATACCACCGGCACACTCACACACACTCTCCTTTCTTGTCTGGTTTGTGTCTTTACCGACGTCTCCTTCTAAACCGCCCCTGTGTCTTTGCCTTTTTTCCCATCATCCGCCCCCTCTTGTGATTTCTCTTTTTACCTCACGTTCTTTCTGGCCCTAAGTCAGTGTCTTTTCTACTAAATTAGCACCTCCTCTAGTCTATTTATACACATCTCTCAGTCCTTTATAACTTTGTACTTTAATAATCTCCTCGCAGCTGATGTAAAGCTTCTGAGAAACACGCAAGCTAATGCTTCACTAGCATTTTTTAAAGGAGACAAAACTTACATCAATGAATTCATCTTATTTTCAGTCAGTACCAGACAAACTATTTATTATTGCAACATGCTACAGTGCCATGTGCTGGCAGTCAACTGACATCCAAGTTCGTCTAATGGACACATTTTGTAAGAACCCATTTATGTGATTTTCTGCAATCACTTTCTTAGAAAAGCATCAGAAATGCCAAGCTGGATCTAGTCTGTATGTTGTTATTTAAATGTTATGTTCATACCTGTGAAGATGCCTAAACCAGATATGCAGGTATGAAGCTCCCGAAAGAGCGTTATTGACCCAAACTCGGAACTGAGATAAGTAATTGCATTTGTGTCAAAGTCATTTTTTCTGCCCTTTCTCCCCTCTTAGCACTGTCTAGTGTTCCTCAATCACATTTGGAGTCAGGGGGCATTTTGCCTTTGCGAAAATTGGCTTGAACTCCTACTCACCCCAGTGGTTTCTCCAGTCGACTGGCTGGCGATCCAACAATCTCGCCAAGAGTACAGAACATCTGACCCAAAAAGTCCTGCAGGGAAGAAAGGAAGGAAGAAAAATAGAAGATGAAAGGAAAAAAAGAAGGGCGGGATTGTAGACGTGAAACAGAAAGTCTACAGATCAAGTCAGATTAACCTCAGGATGTTCCACCAGATCTCGTACCACTGGATCGTTCATGCAAATTCAAGAATTTAATAAATTCACTGAAGTTTGTTCACTCATGCTCATTCGCAAGGTCAAAGTTAACATTTGGCCGTCCATACACAGTTTACATCAACAAACTATTTCATTTTTAGTGGGAACATCTTCTGCTAAAAAGGAAAAAAAAAACCTTGGAGAAGTGATGAAAGTGATCATCACGAGAAGTACTGTATTTGCTACACTTAAAATACAACTGATACGATGCGTTTCATAAAAGGTGATATTACTGTGATGTGCTAAATGATGTGACGTTGTGTTATCATGTCCATTGCTGGTGTGAAGCTGGTTTATAGAACTGAACCCAAGTAATCCAGTAGGCTACGTATGCATGATTGCATACTGGGTTAATGCAATGGTCAAAATGTTTTCCACTAAAATCAGGTCTGTTTCACACATAGGCAACTTAACAGCACCGTGAATTTTTTCCATCCATCCCACCTGTCAACAGACGTGAGATAACAGTATAACGTGGTTACACAGCAAAAGACAAAACGTTTTTAAAAAAGCACATCTCAACAGATCCAATAAAACTAGCACGAGTACATGGAGAATCCATTGTGTGGTTGTTTCAAAGCCGTGAACTAACCATATTAATTGCTTCTTTGCGATAATTGATTCTACATTTCTCACTTTGTAAGAGCTCATCTGACCAGACCTCTGTCCAACATAGAAAAAACATCAACAGTTCTACAGTTCAGTTTTTGCTGTGATACTGTTTCCACTTCTAACCACAGAGATAAATGGCCTGTAAATGGCCTGTATTTGTATAGCGCTTTTCTAGTCCCTAAGGACCCCAAAGCGCTTTACACAACCAGTCATCCACACACCCATTCACACACTGGTGATGGCAAGCTACATTGTAGCCACAGCCACCCTGGGGCGCACTGACAGAGGCCAGGCTGCCGGACACTGGCACCACTGGGCCCTCTGACCACCACCAGTAGGCAACGGGTGAAGTGTCTTGCCCAAGGACACAACGACGAGACTGTCCGAGCCAGGCTCGAACCGGCAACCTTCCAATTACAAGGCGAACTCCCAACTCTTGAGTCACGATCGCCCCAGATAACGTCAGGGTTTCAACCATATTTGCTGGGTAACCACATAACCAAAATCTTAATACAAATTGTAAAACAAAGGGGAAGACTCGATGGATAATAATAATAATCTGAGCTGAAGGAGAATACTATTAAAAGAGCCTACCTGTACTTTGAGTCCCTCAACTTCAAAACAAAGTAGAGACATATTTCAAAGTATTTGAATTTAACCCGTCATCAGAAATTATTGTAACCCACTCAGAATATGCTCCAACCAACCTGATGTAAACCATTCATTTAATGAACCGTGAGGTATTACACATGATGGGATAAGAAGGAGGCATTCAGTGACCCGTGTGTAATGGCCAGAAACATGATTGAACACAGTTATGACTCTAGCTCATCATGTCTGTGGACAAAGTCTCTCAGTGTCAGCCGGCACTGATCTACTTCATCAGACTCCCAAGTTTTTCTGCAAAGAATCTCATTGTGTATTTTTCAGCATAGTCTTTCCTGAACTTATCAGAGGCAGGATGTGGGGCAAAAGTCCTTAATATTGACCTCGACAGACTGGGATCGTTAAATAATTTATTGGGCTATAGAGTGATTGATTTCAATGAGTCTCTAGGTTTTTTTTGAGCCAATTAATTCCACTCAATGCAGCCCATAAGAGCCTGGAAACCTGATCATCTCGATGGCGTTGAATAAAACATTCGAAAGGCACAAAAACTACATACTTCCACTGAAATTACTGTGGCCAGTAACAAGAGCTGTGCAAATGGCTTGACTTGGCTCTCAGTTGTTTTTATTGTGATCAGTGGCGCCTTCTTTTCTCCTGAGAGACGGCTCATTCATGTGAAACAGCAGCCATGCAGTGTTAGAAGTGAGAGAGATGTTGGGACCTACGTTGAGTTCTGCGGGCTTCCAGAAAAGTTGGGCGGCAGCAGCAACAACAACAACAACAATAACAACAGAGCACATCATATACCAGCACACAACACCATATCAAATACCTAGCACTCCTGGCACTGTTCAAAATGGGGAAGTGGGACCCGAAAGACGACAACATGCTGTGCCACAAAAGTAAAATCCAAACCCCAACAGAGGAACAGTTAAAGCAAGTGATGGAAAAACGCAAACCTCACTTATCCAAATACACCAAATAATCACCCGCGCTGATTATTTTGACATTTTCAATGCTTTTCTGTCACCATAGTTTCCGGTCATGAGTAAAAAAAATTTGTTTTTCCCCCCCAGAAATGATTAAGAACAAAAATAATGTGATGCATTGCTTTAAATGGAAACTAATGGTTAAAAGCATTACGTAATCCTTTTTTCTACATGAACGTATATTATGGTGTTACATACTATCCATTACTACAGTGCCAGTAAAACCAATAAAAAAAGACGATGAAAGAACCAGTTGCTGATCAAGTAGACATTTAAACTGTACATTTACATACGAAATATAAGTACAGTATATGACTGCATATCTAAAAACAATAGCACTGTGAATAAAAGAGAACAAATAAAAACTCTGTATTTGGATACTTATGTGATCAGGCAATAGATGGGGTTTGCTTTATTCCACCCTAAAAACATGCAGCAGGCGACAAACTAATTAAAACAAGCAACATTAGACCACTGATAAAAGGAATTTTTACTATCTTCCATTTTGTCAAACACCATATTTAAATGTTTACATGGAGGAATTTTCTCCACAGCAATTCAAGCCAATAATTCAGATTTTACCCAAGACTGATCTCCATTTATCTGTGGTTCAAGGTTTAAAATAGCTGTGAGTACTCACGTGTTTGGACAGGTCGGGGCTTTTGGAGTCAACATCATACCTGAAAGGAAGCAAAATGAAAACAAAAGCCTTACTTTATACATTTGACCGATGTGACATTGCAGGAAGGTTTTCGAACAAAAATCTTTGTATCTTTTTGTTTATCAAGTTGAAGAAACGGAAGGAAGCAGGAGATAGTCATTATAATTGGTGCAGTGCATGGATTACAAAGAAATAAAGCACAGGGAAAGAGCTAAAAGAAAACAATATAAGGTGACACTTAAATGTGCTGCACTGAAAACTGCAGTGTTTAGTGAGGTGAGCAGAGGTGGGTAGTAACGAGTTACATTTACTCCGTTACATTTACTTGAGTACGTTTTTGAAAAAAATGTACTTTTAAAGTACCTTTTTTGCACAATACTTTTTACTTTTACTTGAGTACATTTGTGAAGAAGAAACGGGACTTTTACTCCGCTACATTTGCAAAATTCAACTCGTTACTTTTTAAAAAATAATTAGTTTAACACATTAGATAACATGCCGCCAGTGGAGTTTCCGGTAACTTTTTTACCAATGAGATGTGGCCATGCAGTCACATGACCAGTTTGAAACTGTGGCGGGCAGTGCGGCCCAAACGTTTCAAAGTAGCGGACACACGAAAGAAGAAACATGAAAACATAGCGGAGCCGTCTACGCTAGAGCTGAAGAGGATGAACACCCTTGGCCTCATATACAAAGAACGTTTCGCTTAAAAGCAGTACAAAAGAACAGCTATGTCTTCAGTGTCAGTGTCTTCAGTGAGAGCCAAAACAAACTAACTTTTCAGCGTGAAAAAACTCAGCTCGTGTAACCTGAGGAAACGGTAAGTTTTCTCTAAATATCTTCTTAGCTGTGGTTAGCTGGATGCCAGCCTTATGTTACAGCAGCTGTGTCGAGCTCAAGCTGCGAGTCATATTTTCGGCGCTACGTTGTAGTGAGACAAGTTTGTGGGTGTTTTGTACAGCTTCAGCTGTCTTTTTAACTGCTCGCTGGTTAGCTAGCGTGAGCTATAAGCTAACAGCTAGCCTCGTTAATGACGCTGGAGTTCAACGCACATGCAAACAGCTCGTCTCTACTGCTTTAACTGTTAAAACAGAAGGCAATACTGCGGCTGGCAGAATTTATTATGTGAAACAACAGCTTGTTTAGTTTAAACAGTCTGCATTAAGCTGGGCAAACACTGTGCGAATTTTTTCCAGTCGCATTGTTCAGCTCCTGCTCAAACTGTACAATTGAATCGCAGGGGTTAGAAGTTCAAAGGTCACGATGCAGGGTCTCACACTATACGGCCTGATGCTCTGATGCGACTTGAGTGCTCAAACTGTGCGTCCATAACATGAAGCTTATCATACAAAATCTGTCTCTCGCTCTCCCTCTCTCTGTCTTTCACTCACTCACACACCACCACCACCACCATCAACTTTGCTAAATTACTAATGGAAAACATTGACCAGACAGCTGCAATTGAGCAGCAATGTCCATCCAACTCTTTTCATGGTTGTTGTAGTCGTCACAATTTTGTGAGGCCACACTGAAAAGCCTCGGATACGGTAGCGTCGTACGGAAGCGTAGAGCTGCCACCCAGCCAAAAGAAAAATAGAATAGTATATTGTTCTAACAATATACTATTGTTAGAACAATATACTATCATGTTAGTACAATATACCTTTCACGTTTGAACAATATAATATCACATTATTACAATATACAGAATTATCACGTTCGTACAATATAAATATTATATAGGCCACATCGCAGCTCCCGTCACGGCTTCCATCAATGTCTTTCTCGTCTTTTCCCAGAGTAACAGCCAAACAGGAGGATCTATTGGCCTTGCACACATTCTTATTTTAAACTTAATCTAGAATTCATTGCAAACTGTTTGTGCGGGATATGAATGACAGGATTTTGTTTTTCTACAAGAGTTAGTAAAAAACATCTCCAGTGTGATCAAATCTTCTTGCCAAACATCTGCAGCTTGGCAGTGTATACTGCACTATAATGACCAGACCCAATTCTTTTGAAAACCATACACCTTTCACGGGTCTCAACTTCATCAGACATCACCTCGACACAGAGCTGGATGAGGCCAGGGCAAACAGCAGCCTAACCGACTAAGATGATGGATCCATGGGGTCAGGAAAGCCAGAAGCAGGGCTGGAGAGGTACCTTTCATGTCCATTCACTGGAGGTGTGGATCTATTGCATGGCGTTCCTAACATCAAGAAGCTGTCGATCAAAATCAATACAGCCCTTCATGCATCTGGAGCTTGTGAAGGACTTCTCAGTCATGCAGGACTCCTGTTCGCTGCTAAACAATGACAGCTTCACAGCAAGAACCTTGAGAGCAAACTGCTGCTGAAGCTTAACCATCACCTCACTAAGTGAAGAAATGGCACATTTTTGCTAAATATGCAGAAATAGATGCACACCCATACAACTTATGGTAAACTGAGCTGCCTTGTATGTACATATGATGAAGATACCTCGTTCTAATGTTTTCTCTGAGGCTGCTGTGCCATTTGGAGCAAAAATTAATATAAAGTTTACAGCATATCTTGTCACTGGAAATTGTTTGCACTGTTTATATATTTATATTATTTACTGTAGGTATTGGTGAAAAAAGCTTTATGTTGTGAAAAACTGAAATCTGGAAAAAAAATTTATTGATCTTTTTACATATATTCCTTTTGAAAATACTAAAATTTGTATATTTATTTATTTTTGTTTGTCTGATAGCATTTATTTATAAAATAAATCGGACATTTCAAACAGTTACTCGCTACTTTATGGGCTCAAAATGTGGTCATAAATATTTTGTACTTGTAAAAAAGATTTGTATGTGTAAAAAAGATTTGTGTGCGTAAAAAAGATTTGTATGTGTAAAAAGAATTTGTGTGTGCGTAAAAAAGATTTGTATGTGTAAAAAAGATTTGTGTGCGTAAAAAAGATTTGTGTGTGCGTAAAAAAGATTTGTATGTGTAAAAAGAATTTGTGTGTGCGTAAAAAAGATTTGTATGTGTAAAAAAGATTTGTGTGCGTAAAAAAGATTTGTGTGTGCGTAAAAAAGATTTGTATGTGTAAAAAAGATTTGTGTGTGCGTAAAAAAGATTTGTGTGTGGACTTAGAAAAAAAAACCCTGCAAGTTACAAGTACGGATTTTTGACCCTATTTTTCTTCCCTTCATCTGATTGGTCAATGTCATGTCAATCACAAATGTAACAATCCAATCAGAGAACAGATGGGTTTGGCTGTCGAGGGGCGCTTTTTTTGAACTGCAGGTCTTTGAAGGGAATAAATGCCCTTTTACATGCCAACCCAGCGTTTTCCTTCATCACCACGAAGGAAAACAGTCTGTGGTCGTCCGAGTTTGGTGATTTTTATGTCACAGGTCTACGTGTTTAATACAGGGACTTCCACAGCCTTTTCAACAGCGCTGCGGACCGCGGGGTGGGGGCGGGCAGTGTTTTGGAAATGACAGTCTTCATTACAAAGCTTTCTTCGTTATGAATTAGCATACATGTTTTTATTGAACATTTGAAGAACTAGCAAAAAAAACAAACTCTTGTAGAGGACATAAAGTCAGAGATAGAAAAGACAAGGAGCAGGTGCATCTAGTACAGGTAGAGCAGCTGCAAAAACCCACAGAGCCCAGCAGCCAGCGTAACAAATTCTGGATCCTTTGCTTTTAGTTAGCAGTTAGCATTAGCAGCGTATCCTGCATCCGATGTGAAAGGACTTTTATGCTGCGCTGTGACTCACAGCAATGGTCCTGGGTCAGCCCTGACTTTGTGTTAAACTAATCCTAAAGTAATAATGTTATTTCTAACCACTGATATACCACAACTTTTTCCTTTCAACAGCTACTGAAAGTTAGGGGACCTAGCTGCTATCGGATATTTATATAGCGATCCTCCAGCTTCAAACGGTATCACCCTTCAAGGACCTGCAGTTCAAAACAGCGCCCCTCCGACAGCCAAACCCATCTGTTCTCTGATTGGATTGTTACATTTGTGATTGACATGACATTGACCAATCAGATGAAGGGAAGAAAAATAGGGTCAAAAATCCGTACTTGTAACTTGCAGGGGTTTTTTTTCTAAGTCCACACACAAATCTTTTTTACGCACACACAAATCTTTTTTACACACACAAATCTTTTTTACACATACAAATCTTTTTTACAAGTACAAAATATTTATGACCACATTTTGAGCCCATACTACTTGAGTAGTCTTTTCACCAAGTACTTTTTTACTCTTACTTGAGTAACATTTTTGAAGACTACTTTTCACTTTTACTTGAGTAATAATATTTTAAAGTAATGCTATTCTTACTTGAGTACAATTTTTGGATACTCGACCCACCTCTGGAGGTGACTGAGCATCAAGAGAGAAGAAAAACAAAGTTATGTGTGAAATCAGAATGAGGAGAGATGAAAAGAACCGAGATCTTAGTGTCATTTCAGATGTTGTTATTTGTTGTGCTGAGTAATTGGAAAGGGGTTTGACTACAGACAATAGGACCTGAGTGGTGGACCTGATCTGATTTGCATGTGAATATAAAGCAATAAAAGGGAAAAGGGACATATGTGATGTCCCAGGATTAAACGTGTGATGAAACAATGGATCCCGTTTGCCTGGAGATCAAATCAAATACAATTACTGAGTAATATGTTGAATAAACAGCACGCAAGACTTTCTCTTGGTGAGCTGCAACTGTCTTTGACAGCATAGGGTGGGACAGATTTAGAGCGTCACGCTGCTCAAAGAGATTTGACAGATTTGTTGTTTCAAATTTAAATCAATTTAAACCATAAAAGAGTTAAACAAACTGCATTAAAACCTGAGGAGGCATTCCTGGGCCCTGTTTCAGGAAGCCGGTTTAGTGCAAACTCTGAGTAAGTATACGCTGAGTTAACGAAAACTCTGGGTTTTCGGTTTCACAAAGCGAGTTTAGATTAATTCTGAGTGAGTTACTATGACGACACACTCCGTGAAGCTAACCTGCCCCCTAGCAGGTTTACTTCAACTAACCCTGACCTTCTCCGCCTCTTTGTCGGAAACCTGACTGTAGGAAGTGTCAGACATGGCGTGTCCCTTCCTTGAAGAGCCAGTAGATGTTGAAGCCCAAATTCTCCGCAGAGCTCTCCGCCGGGAGAGAGTGATTAGAGCGCGTTCGGACATTTTATCATTTCCTGATGATTTCCTGTGTGAACGTTACCGTTTCTCAGCACAATCTATAATTTATTTGAATAACATCCTCAGGCCTAATATTGCTCATGTGACACATCGCGGACATCCTCTCAGTTCTGTACATATTATTTGTATTGCACTTCGGTTTTTTGCAAACGGGAGCTTTCTGTATAATATTGGTGACGCTGAGCACGTTTCCAAGGCTACCGTCTGTCGGGCAGTCAGGAATGTTACAGTTGCACTGAAACGTCTCCTGTACTCGTTTGTGGTGTTCCCCGGTCATAGACCCACAAGATTTATCAACGAGGGATTCCACAAAATTGCAGGTATCAGGATGAACGAAACTTACTTCATGATGTGGTGATATTTGAACTACTACTTAAATTTTACATTTATTTTCACGGTTCCCAGGTGTGATTGGCTGTATAGATGGCACTCACATTCCAATCATTGCTCCTTCAGTAAATGAAGGAGACTATGTGAACAGGAAGTCTTTCCACAGCATTAATGTACAGGTACATAGTTCCCTGTAGCATTTCAAACTAACAAATTATTTCATTATAGTAATGGATGCTAATTTGTGTTCTCTGCACTGTGAAGATCATATGTGATGCTGCCAACATTATCACAAATGTGGAAGCCAACTGCTCAGCCTCTGTGAGTGGTGGTGGTGGAGGACCCCCACCTGTTTTTCGGGCCTCCGCTTTTTTTTTCTGTTGGCTATAACGGGTCACATTTGAGCATACAGAGTAAGCAAATATGTACTTGTAATGTGCTCAGATAATTTCAATAAGTGCTTACAGAAAGAAAATTAATGTAGCCTCTAACTGCAATTGATTTACATCGGACAAACAGACCAAGCACTATGGCTCATAATACAATTACACCTTACCTGTTTGGACTATATTTTTATATTTCATTTTTACTTGCTGCCAGGAACGTTTGGGGCCTGTTGGGTTGCACCTGCGCTCACATCACATCACAAAATAAAATGTATAACATAAAAAATAAAATCAAATATAATAAAATAACGTGTTAAATGGGTGTAAATCCCTAGATCAATGTTTAAATTAACACTCACGCATTGACTCTGTCGGCTTTGTTTTGCCATGCATGCTCCCTTTGTTTTGCAGCTGAGGCTGTGTTATTTTTTTTCCGCGGAATTTGCATGTTATCGGCATATACTGCCATCAGAATTTCGGCCTCAAGCGCTGTAAGATACATTGACCGCGCCTTCTTTCCCTCCGTCTCCATGGTGACTCGCTTAATCTGTGCTCCACTAATCACGGCTTTATGTATCCTCGTGCGCGCGCTTAACTTGGGGTTAAAGCAACTCCGCGTTGATTGAACTAATTGTTATCAGCCTTTCTGAAACAGAATATTCCGAGTTGGACAGTTCGGGGTTACTCAACCCTGAGTATCGTTTTTCACTCTGAGTTTTCTAAACCGGCTTCCTGAAATGGGGCCCTGGTGTCCAAATTACAAAAAGCATCTTTTTGGAATCTGACCCATCCAAAAACTTTAAGGTTAAAAGCAGATGTGATAATATTACCAAAGAAATCCATTATATTATCGTGTTCTTACATAGTTGTTTTGTTTTGTTTTTTTAATACATGTTTTGGGGGCTTATTAAGCAGATCAGATTCAGAAACACTTGTAAGATTAGATTTGTGTTCATATTTAGGCTGGATCTCTCTTGTGGAAAAAATAACATTAACAGTTGCTTCTTCCAAACAACTGCTCTCAATTAACATGTGCTTATACCAAAATATGATCACTTTATCTTTATTAACAGTCTGCAGATGTTTAAGATTGCTGTCAAATCTCTAATTGAAAAATCCTTGATTAAGGGCGTTTTGGCCAATTACTGCCAAATATCCATTACACCCTTTATTTATGATTATTTTTACTCATTTTATTCATTATTTGTATTAGATTAGCATGCAATAATGGTTCCATTTTTAGGAGTTTCATTCAGCATTCAGAGAGCATGATAACTCAGAGACAAGCATGGGTAAAAAGCATCAACCATCTTCTCATATCCTCACACAATGGACTCCTCTCTATAGCTATCACGCTGGATCTCGGTGTTGCATTTGACACCACTGATCATATCGCGCTTTGACTCAAAAGACGAGCACTGTGCTGGTCATATTTATCAGATGTTGAAAGTCTTCCAAAAGTCATATAAGAGGTTCAATGTCGTGTGCTGGTTGACAATGCATATATTTCTATTGGCAATTGGTGATCTCAATCTCTGTTTTGGGCCCTAAAAACATGGCATTAACTTGGCCTCTAGCACTGCTGATTCCACTGAGTCATTTTTGACTAGAATATCTCCTTTAACTCATGCATTTAAAGTCATCTGTAGCGATACAGATGAGCCGTCCAGCATTATTAACATTACAAACATGCCTTCTTAGAATGATGCTGAAAACAATCCCATTTATTAGTTACTTCTGGGACCAGCAGTTGTAATTCTTTATTATCAGGATATAGCTCCCGGAAAGCTTCTACAATATGTTGTTCTGAAGATATTAAGTAGCAAGAGAGATCCCATTTCTATATTGCTATAGGCTCAGGCTGCTGCTGGACCTCCCATCAAGCACGGAGCACGTCTCTTATCTCATTTCTTCCTCTATGCATTCATGTAGCCTTGTTCGTGTCATAAATTGTGTTTCTTTCCTCTTCATTAAGTTGTGCATTTTCCTCTCTGGCCTTTCTCTCTCTGAAAGTCTTGCAAACATCTCCAGGTCCGCATGATCCTGATCTGAAGGTGCTTTTCTTTTCTTTCTTTGCTTCCCCCTCACCCCAGTAGGTCTAGACAGACATCATCTATAGCAGGTTCCTTCCTGGGGTTTTTTTCTCACCACAGTCAGGGTGCTCCTCAAAGAGAATTGCTGCTTTTGTCTTGTTTTTTTGAATTGTAAGGCTTACCTTATGATGTATATGAAAAATGCTGAGATTTACATTTGTTATGCACTGGTGTAAATAAATGCAGTTATCTAAATAAAACTAAAGACATGCCATTTCATTGCAATGTTTAGATCCCCTCCATATTTTGGCATGGTCAGTCTTGTTGTGCATAGTTAGGGTTGTTGTATTTTCTGGTCAGGTATGGCAGATGGTCAGTTTCTTAACTTAACTAAACGGTGTAGGCAGATGGTGCAGAAAAGGAAGTGAAATAATGAAAACTAAACATCACTCACAAGTCAAAGCGAAGGTTCTGCTTCTCCTCAAAAAAGTAGTCCAAGATGTACTTTCTAACAAAGTCGGGGTTTAGAGTGTTGTCTATCACCTCTGTTCTGCCAAACTGTAGGAGGAGAAAGACAGATGGAGGTCAGCAGAAGAGAATGATGAAAGAACAAGCAAGACATTGAAACACAGTTTTAAAAACAAATACAGTTAGTGTGTGCTTGCCCTTTTCATCTCTTTCCTGGGCTTATTACATAAGTGTATGCACACAGTCACAGAGGCCTGATTAATGGAGGTGCTTTCACATGGTTCTGCTGTGCAAATGAAATCAAGGGTGGGTTTCCCGGATGCTTGATCTTCACCCCTCTCCTGTATTAATTACAGCAGGTTAGCGCATACATCAACCTCGCGGAAGGAAAAGGAAAATGTAAGACGCCCTGTGTGGACAGGGAAAAGTTATGGGTAGACTTGGAGGGGAAAAGGGGAAAGGGATAAAAAACTGCTGGAGGGAAGGAAATGGGGACACTGTTTGAGTCAGAGCTTTGGATTGAAAACAGTCAGAAGGGTAAAAATGAGAAAAGAGTGAGGAGAGGTGAGGAGGAGGAAAGCAGTCATCAGGGCTTCCTACATTTTCTCACTCCTAAATTACAAATGCAGGGAAATATGCCAGAGAACAATTGACAAAGGCCCAGAAACTCCAAGTATATGCACAATCACTGGCCACTGTATTAGGTACACTTTACAAGTAATGGTTTGGACCCACTATAGCAGTCAGAACGGTCTTAATGCTTCACTTCAGCAAAGTGCTGGAAACATTCCCCACATATTTTGGTCCATATTAACATGATAGCATCACACAGTTGCTGCAGATTTGTCAGCTGCACATCCCTGATGTGAATCTCTCATTCCACCACACCCCAAAGGTGCTCTGCTGAACTGAGATCTGGTGAATGTGAGTACAGTGAAGTCATTGGCATGTTCAAGAAACCAGTTTAAGATGATTTGAGTTATTCTGATGGAAGCAGCCACTGGACGATGGACAGACTGTAGTCATAAAGGGATGGATGTGCCATTAAATGGTGCCTTATTTGGTACTAATGGGTCCAAAGTGAACCAGGAAAATATCCCCTACACCATTACACCAGCAGCAGCCTGAACTGTTGAAGCAAGGGAGGATGGATCCATGCTTTGAAGTTGTTTATACCAAATTCTAACCCCAGTCTTATATTGCCCCATTTAGGTAGCCTCAGTATGCTGTTCTGTCCTGTGTAACAGACATGGCACCAACCACGGTCTTCTGCTGCTGTACCCCATCTGTTTAAAGGTTCGACGTGTTGTGCATTCAAAGACATTCTCCTGGTTGTGGTTATTTTAGTTGCGACTGCCTTCCTGTTTGGCCATTCTCCCCTGACCACTGAGATCAACACTGGATATTCACCCCGAGGACAGCCTCTCACTGGATATTTAAAAATCTTTTTGGTCACCATTCTCTGTAAACCCTACAAATGGCCATGCGGGAAAATCCCAGTAGATCAACAGTTTGATAAATACTCAAATCAGCCCACCTGACACCAACAAACATGCCACATTCAAAGTTACTTCAGTCACATTTCTTCTCAGTTCTGATGCTCAAGTTGAACCTCGGAAAATCATCCTGTCTATATCTACATGCCTAAATGCTCCCATGTGATTGCCTGTTTAAAGAGTGTGCGTCAGTTAAAACCTCCACAGATTTATATTTAATAAAATAAAAATAAATAGTGAAGCCTTAAAGCACACATTGCCTCATTCGTGACTTTATACTAAGTCTGAGCCCTCTGGTGTTTGAACAAACATAAAAACAGTGGAGTCAGATGAGAGCAGTTAACACAAGAATGAAATTACCTCAAAATGGATTCAAGAAAACACACACACTGGAGATTGCACCACATTTCCTGTGTATACTGAGTCTACTCTGTACTGTACATGGCTGCATGTTTTTGATGTCACATTTAATGGTTTCCTGCCAGCACAGCTATAAACTGTTTGCGGTTTGAACATCTCAGCTTAGTCATAGTTAATTGCTGGTAATATCACCAGAACTTCACAAGATAAATCACATCTTACTTCTACATTTCTAAATTTGAGCCATGTGAGCATGCTCTGGGCCTGTAGGGCTCTTGTTATAGCTCAGAAAAAGACGTTATTGCTACATCTATTAAAGCCACACCTCCTGTGATAGGTTTAATATTCATTTCATCCTTATATCACAACAAGGAACAGCATTAATTGATTTGTAATGAGCGGCATTAATCATATTTTTTCTTAATTGATTTCCTTAATCAAATCCATCTTCATTCCTTCATGCCTAATATTACAATGATGCACAGATGTCAGAGGCAAGAATTCTTTCTTTTGTTAGAAAGATGAAAATTCAACCTGTGCTCAATAATGCAATAATGACATCGGGTCAGATGCGAATCGTATATAGACAAACTGTTTCCACAGACTACAACAGGTCTGCCTGTGAAATAGACACCATGAGGCAGAGGGCAAACGTGCTGTGTTGGTGTCATCAGCATCATAGCAGTCGAGAGGTGTTTGACCTTTAATGTGTAGGTAATGTTATGAAAACCAAACCGTGAAATTTAAGTGAAGAGAAGAATGTGTGGTTCCAGACATGGTTCAAAAACTTCTTTCCATCTAGAGTTTGTATAACACCACACTGGCCTTCTAATGCTGATTTTTTTGCATTAGTTGAAAATGTCAGTAAAGCGTTACCAAGTGCATCAAAATGTGACAAGGAGCAAGCGTCAGTATGTGATGAGTTCAGAATAAGAATATGTTGTAATATGTGCAAACTGTAGTATTTTTAGTGCAATAATGTTTATTTGTATGGGAATAAGCATGCAACTTCAACGAGTTCCACACAACATTCATAGCTTAAAGCAAATCTGCAACGGCCTTTTCAGAGTCACTCTTGTTTTCCACAGTCTCATAACTCACCAGCAAGTCTGTCGAACTCTTCATAGAGGTAAACAGAACCTGTTTGCAAAGATTAATCTTCCCATAACATGGAATGCAGCTTTTGTGAGCGAGTGTGAGTAAACGATGACTTTGCACCAATAGAAAACTTCACTCTTCTGTGATATTGCACCACTGTCGAATCCCTCTTTCTAAAAATAGGAGGGCAGGACTACTGATATTGAATCTGTGTTCTGCCCTGAGTTTTTTTCCGAAGCACCCGGAGCTGTTGATGAGGTTGTGAGCACATGTTAGTAAAGAGGCGGGAGATTGCAAAAATGAGCACCATACGTGATTTCCCAGCTGAGTGGAAGAGACAATACCGTGCTGCAGAGTTCATTAGATACTGCTGGGCTGCTGGAGCTGGCTAATGAGAATCTGGCAGGAAGTCCCTGACCTGCACCCTCGACATTTACACACATAGACGCAAGGCAGCTGGCACGCATATACTTATGGCATCTGAACTCTTCGGTCCGCTGATGTAGAGACCGATAGTGTCTCGTGTTGAAAATGTGACCATGTCCCTAAGTCTCATTGCAAGTGATCATGGTGTTAAATTAAGAAATGGGCAAAGGAGAACAGTAATAAAACATGTACAATCCATTATTATCTTTTTGGCTTTTCTATCCCAAATATGGCTAAGAGTTAATTATGCTGACCATCATACTTTGCATAAACAACCTTTTTTTTTCTTTTAACACACACAAATTGTCAGTGCAGATTTTTGCCATCTGAATGTGCTGTAGTTCTTTTTCTGTTCTTTGTGGCTCAGCAGACAGCAACACAGAGCTCATATAATGAGCATGTTGGAGTCAGTAGTGTGAATTAGTGTGAGATAGCTTTCTGTCTGTTTTGGCCTTCAGTGAAAAGCATTGGGGTGAGTTTAAAAAAGAAATCCCCAAGACAAAGAAAAGACACAGAAACACGAAGAATACTGAGCAGCTCCCCAGGACTGATAGAGAGTTTAGGGAGGAAGAGTAAAACAAGCAGCTGAAAACCATTTCTTCCACGATAAGTGCTGCATGGCTTCATGGGAAAACAACTCCCAAGGTTTGTTAGAACTTCGAGCCACAGCTGTGATTGTGCGAAGTCTGGGTATATGTGTGCACATCAAACAAATTCTAAAACTCATGCACGCAGAAACAGGCATGTGCACCAACACACAAACGCACACTCATTCACATAGCAGGTAGTAGCAGATAATGTCAGACGGTGGGAAAAAATAATAGAAATCATCAACCGTGTCAATCTCCATTAGCTGTTCTCTGACTGGCTCACAGCATACAGTAATCACTCGGCAACTTTGCACCTCCATTGCTATGTTTTACTTGTTTATATATCCAACAGTCCTTCATTGTATGTATGTACTACATATAAGGTGCAACCATTCAGTTCAGCGACTCCACCTGTGAAAATAGATAAAAAATACAATTTAAATTTGGTCTATTTTCCCCTCATGTTTTCTCCCTTGCAGTGCAGCTCTCTGAGCAACGTTTGGTCCACAGGAAAATCAGAATGAGCCTTTCAGGGAGAGATCTGAAAGCAGTAAGTGGGCCAAAAGTAAACAAGGAGACAACCTGGAAGGGGAACTCCACCAGATTTAAGTAGGTTTTTTGTTTAGTTTTTTTTTTTTATTGGAGAGAGTTTCTTATCGTTAGGACTACGCCTTATATTCATCTAATGAACCTAAAAATAAGTTGATGTAATTAAGTGTTAACATTACAGGCAGCCGGATCAGGTCAGGGACGAGACCCTGCCCCAAGTGGAGGAGTTTAAGTATCTTGGGGTCTTGTTCACGAGTGATGGCAGAAGGGAGCGGGAGATCGACAGACGGATTGGTGCAGCGGCTGCAGTGATGCGGATGTTGTACCGGTCTGTTGTGGTGAAGAGAGTAGAGCCGGTGCTCCTCCACATCGAAAGGAGCCAGCTGAGGTGGTTCGGGCATCTGACAAGGATGTCCCCTGGACGCCTCCTAGGCGAGGTTTCCCGGGCATGTCCCACCGGGAGGAGGCCCCGGGGCAGACCCAAGACACGCTGGAGAGATTATATCTCTCGGCTGGCCTGGGAACGTCTTGGTGTTCCCCTGGATAAGCTGGAGGAGGTGGCTGGGGAGAGGGAGGTCTGGGCTTCTCTGCTTGGGCTGCTGCCCCTGCGACCCCGGATAAGCGGAAGAAAATGGATGGATGGTTGGATTACATTTAATAGGTCTTGTCTTGTGTTATATTGTAAGGAGAAGCAAATGGTTCACAAATATCCTTAATGTGACTGTGTTTGTATGGACATACTGTGGAAACTCAGTGAAGCTAGAGCTGAGACTTTTTGCAGCTGTGATTTTCTGGTATACGGTCTAATTACCCGAGGTACACTTACACAACGATTCCAGGAAGAAGTGTATTTCTAAGAGTGCTCTCAATTTGGGCTGTATTAGTCAGTAATACCTCAAATTGTTCGACAGTATGTTTGTGCCTGGTAAACATCTCCTATGACCTTTTCAGACTTGGTTTTGGATACTAGAGTCCATATTCAGGTTTATTTTCTCCATTGTTTTGGATGGGGAGTCATTATTGAAGGTCACTTAGTTGTTTTTAAAACAATAACCACTGGAGCAATAAAAAGCACTGAATCATCTTGAGCATAAAATCAACCTAAAAGTATCCTACAACTAAATCCGGAGCACTTTAATGTACTGTAGAGGATAATGAGTGCACAACGAAGAGAATCAAGTCTACACATAACTTATCTATGCACTAGTCTGTTGTATAAAGTGATGTGCATACTCTTCATCAAGAATGACCTGTATTAGCATGGCAGGCATAATGCAGTGTGCACCAAATACCGGAGGAGATGGAAATAATCGTCAAACGTGGCCCCACCGGTGTGCTAGAGGGCCCTGTCAGAAAGCATTATTTAGCAGTCCCTGGTGAGTCACCTGTTTTAGCTTTGCTTGTTCAATCGGAGGCGCTCAGTGTCGCTCACACAGCATCACCTGGAGCCGCTCCAACACATACAACTGGACAATATGACTGTGGATGCGATGGTTCATGTCCGCAAGGAGAGGGCTGATTTAAATGTTTCCTGGTGAACAGCAGAAGATGGAGTGCAATCTGAAGTGAAAATAAACTGAAGTGAAATGCTCATTATATTAATTACATTTTGTGTATTTGATTGGATTAGAAGGCATTCAAACTGAAAAAACAAAGAAGTGGATGGCAAAGGGACCTTTACTGTGCATATGCAAATGCATATGCGCTTAGGATTTACACATATGCATACACATTTTCACACCCAAAGAGCAGGGCTGTCAGCAATAATTCAGCTACCTTTGAATTAATCCCACACAGCCATCTGTTGGGAGTGAGTAAACATAAGAGCAGCAGATGAGTGTATAAATAAAACAGCCATATACCATATAAATAAACAAATTACATTAAATTATCATGTATTGAAAATATCTGTGCCCATTTGGACAATGAGCAGTGTTTGATGAGGAATCAATCAAACTGTGCACGTCCAGCCTTGGAGGGGATGCAAGTGAAATCACGGCTGTGGCACTGGGAACATAGCTGTAAATTAATATCATGCTATACTCATCACGTTACAGTTCCATTTTTAATGACTTTCTTTTTTCATTGCTGTCTTGGTTGATAGTTTTTAATATTTTTGTTGCCTGTTTGTATTACAGAACATTAAAATCGACTATCTAGTGCAGGAGTGGGCAATTCCAGGCCTCAAGGGCCGGTGTCCTGCAGGTTTTAGATCTCACCTTGGGTCAACACACCTGAATCACATGATTAGTTCGTTACCAGGCCTCTGGAGAACTGCAGGAGCTAATTTAGCCATTTAGATCAGCTGTGTTGGTTCAAGGACACATCTAAAACCTGCAGGACGCCCTCGAGGCCTGGAGTTGCCCACCCCTGATCTAGTGTCAAACTCTATTTATCTTCGCAAGGTTTGGACCAGACGTTCTCTAACGGGAATAGTTTTTAAAGCAAAACTCACTTTTGATTTATGATTTTTTGATTTAATGACTTTAATTTATTGTAAGCCAAACATGTATTCTCACTTACAGCATATTTGCTGTGTTTTTACACTAAAGCATTGCGCTAGCAATACTCTATAATTTTCAGATATGTGCATACACAGTACAGTGTATTGCATTACGAATTTATTAGACCAGCATCCGATGTAAGGTTTATGGCACAGCTGCTCCAAATTAAAACTTTTTTATGTTTCTGCAATGGTTTATCCACCAGCATGCACGAGCTCTTTAATCAAAATGTATTTTTTCTTATGCTAAATTACAATTACTGTTGTTATCTATAAATGTACATCACAAAAAATAAAAATTGGGGGGGGGGGGGGGGGGCTCTCGTTTTCTTGAATAATCTATAAGAGAATCTGAAATTGTTATTGCAGTTGTTACCTGGTTATGAAGGGTGAGTGTAGGTCTGATTTAAAGGATTGAGGAGAGATTCTCTTGTTCAGTGTGACTGCTTCTGAAGTTCATGTCCAGTGTCACCTGTATTTATTTCTTTACTTGTGCTTATAGTTGTTGCAATTTCTGCTGCCCCTTCAGCCAGATATCTCTTGGAAAAATAGAGTTTCAATCACAATGACACTCTTTAACTTGACAAATAAAAGATATTTATATACAAAAATATTTACCATGCCCGTGACAAATTTATTACAGGCTTAGTTCATAAACAGTATACTGTATATATTTTAATTTGGTCTTGCAGTCAGCATTTATTGCAATAGGACAAAAATTCTATTAAAATAAACTACAATGGCCACGTTCGATTTAATCGAAAGCAGCAGCTTGGCCCATTTCTGTTAATAGTTTTTGGATACAAATGGAGGTCTGTGAAACATCAACGGGCCACATACACATGCACTTGTATCTACTTAAAACTGTTCATCTTAACAACAGGAAAGATGCTGAATATTGTCAACTACATCCTTTTGAGTTAAATTGCTATTATTATTATTATTATTATTATTATTATTATTATTATTATTATCATTATTACCTTCATTATGTGCCACATTTGGGAATTTCTTCCATAATAAACATTCTGATGTCAGCTGCTTATCAGTATTTGCAAAGACATAAAGGTAAAGAGTTTGGCTTCAATACTTTATTTAACACTTTACTTCACATATTTATTTTGTATCATTATGTGTTTTGCTAATTCCACCTGCAATCCAAATAATTAGGTTTCATTAACTGGACAAACAGACAGAAGGGTGAGATGACAAGTAGAGAGCTGATGGTAATGCCGCATAAACCAAACAAGCCTCACTAAGATGTGGATTAACGAATCTGCAGCGTGCTGTTTAGTCCCCAAAATGTCAGCATATTGATCATTATGGTGTGAGGGTTTTTGTTGTTGGTTGAAGTCTCCAATTAAGGAATATTTCCTTGGCGTTTTAAGACGACTGATGCTTGAACAAGTTTAATGAATTGTCAAAAAACACTCACAGAGAAAAAGGGGGAAAGAAAACCATGAGCTGAATGTCTTAACTGGAGTGCCACCACTCCACCCCTGTGCACACAGAGAGCAAGGCCAGAACTTAATTGGACACGCTGTAAGTTCTTTCTTTTTTGATTTGTGTGTGCATGTTCGTGTGTACACTCACCTCTCTCCACTGTTTGGTTTCAACACCTTGTGTATAGAGCACGCACACTGTGAAAAAGTGCCAGGGAGGGACATAAAAAGAGGAAATTTGGTGAAAGAAAGAGAAAACAAGAACCAGGGGGGGAGAGAGAGGAAGAAAAGAGAGTGAGAATTAGAAAAATGGAGGCAAATTCCAAATGGGAAATCAATGTGAGGGTTTTAGCTCCAGTGCAGTGAACAAACAGCCACAGCACACTGAGGGGGGGAAAAAAAGATTTCCCAAACTACAAGGCAACATATCGATAAAAAACACACAGAGGAGAAGTAGAGAACGACCACAACCAGAAGCAGGCGTAGAAAAATAATAAAGTACCATAAATAGGAGAAGTCTTTACAAAATACTCACTTGGATCTGACTTTGAGAATGTGTCTTTATCCAGCAGATTTCTGGAAAAGGAAGAGAAGAAAAAAGCAACAACTGTTACTCATGCTGACAGCTTGACATGAGTCACTTATACTCAGCTATGTTCTAATATTTATGTGCACATACGGTATATTCTTGTCATGTTTAAGATGATACAATTTTTTTAACCAGAAGCCCACTTGAGAAGTGCAGAGCCTTATCTGACAATTTTACAGAAAGTGATCTGATCTGCTGATTCAGATCACTGTGAGTTTTGTGCGCTCTTCATTTTGTGCCTTGGTTTTCTGGTTTTCCCTTTTTTCCTTTCTTCGGGTATCTAGTTTGAGCTTTTGTCACATTGTAGTCTCTGGGGACTTTTTTTGTTGCATCACATTTCATCTGTCTCTCTCAGCCTCCACTCGTCCCCCTCTCACTGCAGATTCACATCAAACATGCAAAACTCCTCTCTGATGAGAGACTATCAAGAATTTCCTCTCATCGTCACGGCGATTTTTCACCACCACTCCCGGCATCAAAGCCATGATACCTTGCAAATAATTAGATATCAAATTAGATGCAAGCCAGCATTAACACAAGAAGGAAAACAATAAGCCACCCCACATTTAACATCAATGTTTCATAGTGGCGTCTGTTCTCATGTCAGCTATGTTCATTCATTCAAGTCAAAACGTTGGATTCTATAAGGGGATAAACCCCAGGTCCTAGTAATGTAGATTTTTAGCATGTTTTGAGATCAGATTTAGGGTAAATGGCATTAACATTGTCACCGTTATAGGGCAGTCAAAGTGGTAGAAAACACTGAAAGATGGGTGTTGTGAGGTACATTCATATTAGAGCAGGAGCAAAAGCACTGCCCATATCAGGGATCAGGATAAAGGGTCCAAAGCAGGATAGCGACGCAGAGATTGGGAACACAAAACAGAAAAAAAAAACACCAAGTATGATGAGCAGGAGCACAACAGAAAAACAGGAGACAAAGGTGGGAACAGGACAGAAAACAAACACAAACTTAACTAATGAGGGTGAGTCACCGAAAACAGCAGAAGGTAAAACAAGAACAAGGCTTTAAATGTAAAACAGAAAGTAAAAAAAGGCAAATAACTAACACTGAGACACGAGGACTAATATAAACATGGTGATAGAGACAAGAAACAGGCGAACTAGAAGCACAAAGAAACAGCACACTAACAAAGGTAACAGGGAGCGAAAGAACACAAATACTCAAAAGTCTATTACAGTGAGGGAGCCGTGGCAGCGGGGAGGGAGCACAAAAGGTATGCGACCCTAGCTTACTTCATAGTGACTGATAAGACCCACTCATGAAGCAAACATGGGCGCCTGCAGCACTGCAGAACATTTGTGTCCCCCATCAGCCAATGAGAATAACTACACAATCTCTGTTAAGTTATTGTTTATGCCTTTCACAAAGAAATCCAACCATGTTTAATAATTTTTTGGCTTCACCATCTACCACTTTTCGTTTTTACCTGAAGCACCATGTGTAGTGTATGCTGGTTTTTTATTATTATCCCCTATGAGGAATACAATGTAGAACCATTGGTCACTAATCAACAATTCTACTACTTGTATTATTTATTTGGGATAACGCAGTCAGTAATTGTGGGGTCACCTCATTATATAGTGTCGTTACACGATGCTCACTAAAAAATCTAATAGGAAGCAGTGGATGATTCCTAACAAACCCTCGTTGCTGTAGCCTACGCTCTGTCTGTTGCTACCGTCTTCTGCTCTTCGGCTCTGGCAAACCATTTATTGTCAGTTAACATAAAACACAGGGGAACAGATTAAAAACTTCTGGCGTTTTGTGAACTTCAGAGAGATCTACCTGATGGCCTTAATCAGCACTGAGTGAGCTTGTTTGTCAAACCCTCTAATAGACATTCATTTGTATGTAAAAGACTCTTACTCTAGCTTTAGAAATGAAAAGTTCACTAAGAGTGCAAGGTTATTTTCACATTTACAATCCCTACGTTTGCAAATGTGATTGCATGTGAAGCCTTTGACATGCACAAACAAACATGCTCTTTCATTCATTCCCAGGCAATGAAATCAACTGGCTAGCGGGGATATCAAAACTGAAAATTGTTGGGTTGGATTTTGCACAATGGCAGCCTGATTGCTAACAAGTCTCCGTGTTTACTCATCTCATTTGCTCATCCCTATCTCTGCCCTCCCACCTTACCTCTTACTTTGTAATGGCACGTAGCGTTCAACCTCACACGTTTACATCTGTCATATTAAAGAACAAAGACTTGATGAATCGTGGATTTTGATTGGTAATAGAACTTGACCACAGTTTGGGGCTTTAAAATATGACAAATTTTTTTTAACCGTGCATTGTGCAGTGTATTTCATTTCAAGACTAATGTATTTATTAACAACTGCCACCTCTGGCACCTCGTCCCAGCAGATGTAATTACAGACGTTTTCCTATTATAGATCACAATGTAAGAATCCCCTTAAACTCAAGTCTGATGAGGGCCTGCCACACTGATTTACAGCAAAGGTTGCAGACACAAAATTACAGGCTTGTATTTGACTGGAAAGAGCGCATAAAGGTCATTGTCAAGGATCTTGTTCATTCCTTGTTTCTCCACCTACTGTACAGGTCCCACTACATCTTCCAGCGTCCTTCACGTAACATCTGTAAAGTATTGTTTTTAAAGCTTTTTACTTTTTCTACTTTCCCTACACCCTCACATGTGACAGGAATTAATGTCTCAGTCAAGGCTTAACCATACTACACATGTACAACACACTAGTACATCAAACGTCCTTTAAGGAATGTCTTCAAATACTATAAAGGTATTTTATCTTGGTTTGTTTGAATACATCTCTGACAGATGAAGTTATGTTTGTAAATGTTTACACACTCAAATCATTCTTTTCCCTCATAAACATGGAACAATAATTCTGAGTAAAACGCAACTGGAAGATAATCAGATCAAAGCTTCATTTATTCAAATAATTTATCACTAAGGAGGACACGTTTGGTGTGAACTGACTGTATAAAAATCAAGTAGCTTCCATGTGACCAGTTTCCATTAAATTTAACCTGTTACATTGTAATTACATGTTACTAAATTGCATGCAACCTTTAAAGGTAATTCATTTCCTTAAAGTCAACATTTTGGCCATTTAGGCATGAATCCATACTACCTGGTTACTTAAAATGGGCTATTTGAAATATCAACACGAGCAACACAAAAAGCAGAAGTTTGACGAGTATAGAAGTAGTGTTAATCACATTTTTCTCTCAGGCCTTCATGTGGTTTCAGATCTTTGATCTTTAATTTAGAAACCATTAGTCTCAAACCATGCGGGGCCTTTCACTGTGCTATCATTTGTGATTTGCTAAAATCACAAACGAAATCACACAACAATAATTCATCCAAACACTAATGGGCTCAGAGATGTACAGGAGTCTTTTATCTGAGATAATAGAGTGCAATTAAACACTATTTGACTCCGGACAGAGAGGTGTTCTCGTCTTTTGAAGTGTGTGCTGCACGAAGGCCAGCGCGTGCTTTTGAGCAAACATCCTTTGGGAACATAAAACTGGAGCTGGCATAAAGTGATTGACAGTGAGCTCGTGCCAGTAAATCTTTATATTAATTATTTGCCTGCTTTTGTGTGTGTGTGCTTTCCTCTTAGCTTTTTCCACCCTGTCTCTCCTGATCTATTCCCGCCTGATTTTAATGCATTTTTTTATGAATTTGACTTTCTCTAACTTAATCTCTCCCCCCGTGTTTCGAGTGTTGTGTCACACCTCCATCAAGTCTGACCTTTTCATAATGTTTGCCAGAGGCTGCTATGTTCCTTGCTCTATTACCCTTCACGTTTCCTCTTGCTCGCTTTGTCACGACAGCGACACGAGAGCCTTCACTCGAGATGACAAAGCCTGTTGTCTCCTCTGATTCTCGCTTCTGTTTCTTTCTCGTTTCATTTTCTTCTGCAATTTCTGCTGCCTTCCACCTGAAGCTGTGCTCTTTCATCCACACTAATCTGTTTTGATTTTTCCTCTGTTCCCGTATTTTCTCTCCCTCCTTTAAGAGCTTTCAAGAGCACACCGATAAGAAAAAGAAACACATAAAGTCCTGAAATGTTTTGTTTTTTATCTTACATTTAGGTTAGAAAGACATTCTGAGCTACAATACTCTGTGTTTGTAAAAATGTCTTTGGGTGAAGTATTGCAGTCTAATGTCCCTGAAATGCCTACATCTCAGTCTAAATAACCAATAAAAACCATATTTGATACCAAAAAAGGCAATATAATTAAATTAGCAATTCACCGTTTAAAAATTCTGCCCTGCTTCAACTCCAGTTGCAGAGAAATGAGGAAATTTGAAAAAAAAAAACACCTAGCTATTTTCAGATAACAATGCTTGTATGCAAAACTGTCCCAGGAATGCATTGTTAATAATAATTGGATGCTTTGTTCAGTTTAATTTATTCAGCCCTTATCCAAATACATATTTAGTTACATCTGGACCCTTTCCATCCACCACCTCACCATAAAAACCCTCAATAGTACATTAGCACACAGCAAGCAATCACATTTATTTATGCTTCATTGTCATTGTTGTTTGAATGGGAGGCCTCTAGCAAATTACTCTGGCAATCTTACACGTAATAAATGTTGTAAACTTCTGAAACTCTGGGACCACTAAAAATATTATCGGTACAGGTGTAAACGTGAGCCGGTACAAACTGATCAGAAGTTGGTTTTACTGACTTTGTAAGCCGGGGAGAGAAGACAAAGGGTTTTGCACACAGTTTGTCACAAGTTTTGATTTTTGTGAATGGCCACGTTTAACAAGTGCATCACCAGCACATGTCAAATTACCGAAGCAGTTTAGGCATTGGTGTGTAGTTAAGTCCATGGACTGGGTACTAGCATGTAAATGATACATGAAACTGTGACAGGCATCATGCTATTAGTAGAGATGGCACGATACCACTTTTTTATGTCCAATACCGACATCATAATTTTGGATATCTG